ACTATTAAATAATAGGATGAGGATGTACGGTCTCAGACCTTTGCTTGAATTAATTAGCGTATACAGTAGTCTATGGGTGTATCTTTCCATTTCCGTATCCTAGACGTATATAAAACAAACATACTGGGTGCGTTTGGCGAAAAAAGCGCTAGCAAGCGCTTGTAAACAAAATGGCGATCGTAAGCCGTAAACGCTGTCAAATCGTAAGTAGTTTTTTCCTCCAGGACACGATGTTAGTTTTAACCGGGAAACCTAACCTAATTTAAAATATGTTTGTAAAGTATTCATATTAAAAACTTACCAATCATGAATTTTTAATAATATGTATATGTTTATTCACGTAAATATATTACTTAAAACTAATATTGCACAAAACAACTTATAAACTCTACTTCAAAATAAACAAATTAAATAAGCAAAATGGCGGATTGTGTCAGCGCTACTGAAGTAGTAATCGTGTCCTGGCCGAAAACTATTTCAGCGCTTGTAAGCGCTTGCTAGCGCTTTTTTCTTCCAAACGCACCCAATATATTACTCTACTTGACTCTACTCTATGGGCGTACGTATCGAAACAACAACAAAGTTAAAAGTTTACTATACATTTGGATATGGTTAATTGGTTTTTTAGAATTTTGTTTGATGAAAAACATTTTTATTACATACTAGTTTAACTTATTTATTAGCCTGCCAATAAATTTTAAACTTACAATGAGCCGCAAGGAAGCCTTATCGTCGTTCATACAGCAAATTCACGGCAGGCCAGTGGTAGTCAAATTAAATAGCGGCGTTGATTACAGAGGTATACAGATTGTCATATTTTTTTCATTACTAATTAGAAGGTACAAAATAAAGAAAGACATAGTTTTAAGAAGTTAATATAGTGGCAATGGGCCGGCCATATAGCTCGAAGAACCGATAACCGATGGGGAAGAAAGGTTCTCGAGTGGCAGCCTCGTACCGGTAGGCGTAGTGTAGGGCGACCCCCCACTAGATGGAGTGACGACCTGGTAAGACATGCAGGAAGTCGATGGATGCAGGTGGCTCAGGACCGTGCTTTGTGGCATTACTTGGGGGAGGCCTATGTTCAGCAGTGGACTTGTGAAGGGCTGTAATGATGATGATGATGATGATGAATATAGTAAAACAAGCACATTATTTTCTAACTGTAACTGGCCGGAATTGTTTTTATTTGATGAAAGTATGGAGCTCAGGCATTATTTTGGCAGATGACAACTTGCCCTGGGTAAACATACCCATCAATAATTTCTTTCAGACACTATTAAGGGCATTAAAACTTTAAATACATGCAAATATAGGCCCCATTAAGTATAATCTCTTTATTTGGTTTTGTTATATTCCATTTTTTTAATGTACCGTGCAATGGCAGCTTAAGAATATCCACTACCCCATATCATCCTGTTGGTATCGTAAATGGTGACAGAGGGAAACAGATCTGGGAATAGGCAGCAGTGTCTTCCTAACAATGACTAAAATTTAAAAACTGCTGTAACCAACCCGCTTGCAAAGCGTGGCAACTATGGCAAACTTCTCTCCTATGGGACACTATGGGGAAGCCTATGTCCAACAGTTGACTTAAATAGGCCATAATGGTATGGTTTAGTGCACCATTTCCCATTTGCCGAATTGCGACCCGGTACCGGGCCATCAAAATAAAATAGCGGGTCGCAACATTCCTGCATACCTACTACTACTAGTTTACCTTAAAAATAAATATAGAAACCGACTTGAAGTGGAACGTGGTGTTAGGATAAAACTTAGGTCATGTTCCGCGAACTTGGATCCTTTAGTGAAAAGTAGGCAGCAGCTCCATATTTTCTTCTTCTTCTTCTAGCATACTTCGCATTAAAATTTAGTGACTAAATAGGCAATACCAAAATATGTAGTATTAATAAAACACTTTATTTTACTATTAATAAATGTGTATTATTTTACATAATGGAACACGCTTGGGTTTAAAAGTATTAAGTGGGTTATAGACATGTGTAAATCACTCATTTCTAGCGACCGAATCATTCTAGTACATTTCGTCACACGTACTGGTACATTCAGATCGATGATTCAAATGGATCATTTTAGGCTCCAGTACTCTGTGAGTCTGTGAGATCCATTGGGAACACAAAAATTTTCTATTTGAGATTTGTAATAGCGCATTTACTACATGCTATAGGTAATAAAGCATGTGGTATCGAATGAAAACTTATTAACCTTCTAGATGGTAAGGACAATGGAGGCTAGATGGCATAAACACAAAAACCTCAAGTTACATATATTTTAAATAATTAATAAATTTGTTCATTCTTAAATTTCATTCCTAACAATAGCACAATTTCATCTTACTTTACATGTCTAAAAATGGGGATTGTAACATTTATTTGCTACGAAATTAAACTTTTACCTAACTTATATAAGAACCAAAGGGGAAGAAAGGTTCTCACCCCCCGCCACAAGGCATTGGATGATGATACTTATATAACAGATGGTTGAAAATTATCATTAAATAAATCATTTATCATGAAAGCTTTTGAAGTGTTACTTTTAGTAAACTCTACTAAATGATATTTTTAACTCATAGATTTAACAAATAAATATAATAAAATGTAAAATGATATTTAATTTAGGTAACAATATTGTAATAAAAAATCCTTAAATAATAAATACTCTGCAGTTTCCGTGTTTCTCTGCTAGGAATCATGGTGTTCTGTGTATATTATATTACTCTACTCTATGCTCTGCAGTCTGCATTGTTAATTCAATTTGCCTGTTTATTCAGATTATTCAGGATTCGTTTGGTTTGCGGCTCATTCACAATTCAAACAAATCGCGGGTTAAAAAGCAATTGACGGTACAATTGTTTGTGATTGGTTGTACTAGTACATTAAAAAAAAATGAATGAACCATCAATACTTTTAAGTATACCAGCTCAAACGAACGAATCATGAATGATTGACACATGTCTAGTGGGTTACGAAGAGGCAGTGTGAAAATTACCGGGTCATGGCAGAATAATGTTTGGGGAATGGTTTAAAGTACTATATTAACTGTAATTTTCAGGTGTACTTGCTTGTCTAGATGGTTACATGAACATTGCTCTGGAGCAAACAGAAGAATATGTTAATGGACAGCTCAAGAACAAGTATGGTGACGCCTTTATCAGAGGGAATAATGTGCTCTACATAAGTACGCAGAAACGGAGAATATAACCGATATTTGTACACTATTGTTAAGTTATTGTAAGTTTGGGTAATAATAAAATCTCAAGAATGATGTACTTTTTATGGCAGTTTATTATCATATTTTAAACACAATTTTTTTTAAATTCAGCCTTTTATAAATGACACAAGTGAAGTAGCCAGTGATTGAACAAAAATTTTTGATTGCACTCTTAAACCTCTATTCCCTTCATCTAAAGAATAGCAAAAAGTTTATAATAAGTCGCTGACACAGTAAAAGGGCAAACCTCTTTTTTTAATTACAAGAGAGCAAGAAAACATTTATTTGCCTCTGATTTCTAGTTTTTTGTTTTCATCAGGAAATAAGAGATACTAGATCTAATGGAGAACTACTGATATGGTAAATATTCCTGATGAAAAAAGCTAGTAATCGGGGATTAATAAATGTTTCCTTGATAGTAATTTTTTTAAAATAGAGGACTTCCCCTTTATTGCATCAGCGATGAATACATGCACATGTATTCTACAGGCATTTAATGTACTTACTCCAGGACAGAAGCCTCCATTAAGAAGCCTAATGCAATTGTGTTGTCACCCCTGACATACAAGATGGCATGTGTTGTTACCATCAAAAAGGCTTTTCGGTTCTCATTGCCCGCATTATGACAGCATTATGTGGCTATTTTATGGTGATGTCTTTTATATATTTATAAGAGATTACCACCTATGTACTGATCAACATCACAATTACTCTGGAACCATAAGGCCTAGAGACATTTTGGTGGGAATATTTTTTCTGTTGAGTAGAGGTCAGCTAAGAACGGATTTTACGAAATTCCACCAGCAAGGGAGGTTGTGGGGTTGTTAATTAAAGTAATATTTTTAGGTTGTAGCTGTTGGGATTTTGTATGACAGGCAGGTTGAGCATGGTGATGATGAAAGATGTGAACTGAAGGCGTCGGTTTCCATAGCGTTGCGTTAGTATATCCCAGCATGAGTTATAGTTGTATTGCATCTTTTGCGCGTTATTTATCATTGGATTGTTGTGAATGGCTTCCATGAAGAGGTCTTTGAATGAAACCTATTGAGTATAGTTGCTAGAAAATTCAAGAATTTTCATTTTTGGCGCACATGTTTCGTAATGAATAGTTGACCAGATACGTTCGAGCTTAAAATTCGTCGAATTTCGTCATACTTGTCTTCCATCAAATACGTTGTAGTATTTGACGTTAGAGCCTTTGTACTTAGCTTCTAATTCCCAATGTAATTTGTCAATGACTTGCCACTCAGGTTTTAGTGTGGAAAGATGATCTTGAAGCTCCCACTTCTCAGTGATAGTCTTGAGGTCAATTTTTGACATAGCACAGTCGAGAGCTTTATAGTTGCACATTTGTATCTCCAGTAGTGAATTAGCTTCGCATATATTATTATATTAGCATAAACAAACTTAGCTCTTATATGTATAAAACTTGGTCAGAATATTCTTTTCGTATGTGTTTGAATGAGTCCCTAAATGGTTTGGATTCACGATGGGAGCCAGTAGGTTGCCGCTGTTGTCGATATCCAGAAATCACCCATGCGAAGCCAGGGCAGATCGCTAGTTATATCATAGTGTTGTCTTAACTTGGTTTGGTTGAGCTAACCCATTAGTGTTACAGCCATATTTTTTACATTTTTTTCTAAGTTACCGCTCAATTGCAATTTGCAATGTAGTAATAATTTTTTATAGTTTATTTTTATCAACTCTATTTTTTATAATTGAAAACTTAAGTTTAAGTGGAATAAAAACAACTACATATTGAACCCAATTTATTTCTTTGTGTAGTACAATTTCACCTCGCCATAGTCCTGAAATGAAAAAAAAATTAACTATCCTTATAATGAGATGAGTGTGATGACTAAGAAAAAAATCCTATCGCCATGAGATTCAAATGAGTTTGTAATGTCGGTAAGATCGACTGAACTGTGATAGATATTTATCTCTTGTACGATTGATTGATGAAAAATCTACTGTGTCTGCTATTGTGATCACTTATTCCCTGCCAAGCGTGAGTTGTATGAATTCTCCCCACTTAGCTCATATCTAACAGTGGACAGTTCAAATTGGGTTGCCAACAGTACTATAAACAGTATTATACTTTATTCCAGTCTAATACTATTTACTGTTATATTAAAAAAATGTATAGAAAATACTGATTTTATCATCGCTGCTATCCAGAGCCACAAAACGAACTTCTAGACCTTCTATTAATTTATCCTCATATAGGTCCTCATTTATTTTAATTTAAATTGTGGAGAGGCAAGAGACTTAAATATATCAACATTTTAAAAATGATAGTAAATTATTAAACTGTGTAAGAATCTCCGAAAATATGTTTTTAAAATTTCAAAAAAAACTTTATTTTTTTAAATACTCTATTTTAATTTTCTGCAATGTGCAATTTATTGTTTATTTTTATTTCATTTAAGATAACAAATAATTGTCACAAAAGATTTTTGTATTACAACAACAAACTACTACTAAGAGATTATAATAAACAAGCTTGTTTAAGCCTTCTTGAGCCGTATTAGATCATAGGCTAAGTACGAGCAACTCTGGTTCTATCCCCGTTGGCACCATCGAATATAATTAATAATATAAAATAATTGCAATTTTATTTGCTGATTTACCATATGTTCGACTTGGACATCAAGGTCTCACAAAATTAAAAAAAATATTTCGTAGACGTTAAAACCACTAACAAGCGGACGTAACCTTAAAACCCTCAGAAAATAGAGGTCTGCGCCCGTGAGACTCATATAAAAACGCTACTTTCTATACGATTGTATAATTATTCTGCAATCAAATTATAATAAACCAAGTGGTAAAATTAAAAATGTTGTACAACCGACTTCAGTATAAATAAAATGAGAACAGCAATGTATTCGAGGTCAATTAAATACGCATTATTAAAGATATTTCAAAAACCACTTGTCAGATCTTGATTAAATTTATATAGGATCACATAAGAAGCACCAGCTTTCAAATAAAAAAAGAATCATCAAAATCGGTTCACCCAGAATAATGTTCTCATAACACACATAAAAAGAAACATACAGTCGAATTGAATACCTTCTTTTTGAAGTCGAAACTACACTCCCTAGTGGAAAGATGGAAAATTTATCTTACAGGATATCATAAGAACATTTATCACTGAAACATTAATTGAGGGGGCAAACGGGCATGCAACTCATCTGTAACAAATTTCAGGTGCATTGTGGACCTTTTAGGAAGACGTTGGCACTTTCCTTGACCGGTTTTTTTTTTATTTGTTTGGTAACGGAAAAATACTGATAGTATTTTTCTTAGAGTGAGTGTATATAAGCATAGCTTGCTTGTATACTCGTAAGGGTTTATTCGTCTGCAAGTAATGTGATTTATGTATGTATTACTCCATGATATATATCATGGAGTATAGAGGCACACTCCATACCCTTGATGATATCAAACAGTTTTTTTTAGTACGATAGGGGGACAAACGAGTGCACAGTCCACCTGATGGTAAGCGGTTGCTGTAGCCCATAGACATCTACATCTCGATTACGAATCAAAATGTTGTCACCCGTGCGGACTAAGATGGAATGCCTAGTTTCCAGTAAAAGGGTCTCCGGTTCTCTAAACTCCCAATACGAAATACAGCAGCGTTAAGCTACTATTTTACGCTGGTATTTTGTGAGAGCGTGGTCCTGCCCCGGTCAAGCCGACCCATTCGTGCTACAACTTTACTACTAATATAACTGCAGCATGGCTCTACCACGTATGATACCATACCTCAGATAAGTTAGTGTAAGACGTGATTCCACTGTACGTATCAAACTTGTTCTGTTTGCATACACGCGAACTATGACGTTTCAATGAATATCGTAACCAAAATTTAGTAATATTTGTTCAGATTTGAAAATAATATTTAAGTCGCATACGTCTCTTCGCTAGCCGGGTCTATTGATATATCTTTAGCATATAGAACGGGTCCAGAAACAGAACCTTGAGATACCGTCGCTTCGTTTTGAGAATATCTTGTCAAGAAATGAGTAAATACCGCGTATTAATTAAGTGTACTGGCTTTACCCATATTATTACTTAAATAATATGCCGCTCCTTAAACTTTGATGGGCAAATATTAAAGATAAACATTAGTGACATTACATATTTCATTTCTTATTGTAAATTACCCTTGTTTATATCAAGTATTAATTATATCTATACCTGTATCTTTCTTTTGTCATTTTTAGTAAAGAGAGAGAGAGAATGATATATTATTATTTATGCGTTTTGTAAAAACTGTTTTTTTTTTAAAAAGTAAAAGCCGATTTCAAAGAACTAATAAGAATAAAACAATTTTCACATAACATCTGAAGTCGCTTGGCTGGCTTTTAATTCTTCTATTCACCATGTCTAAACACCGACGAAGCTAAAATTTTCATTTGCTTTTACGGCTATATGGCATCCACGGGACGAAAAGAGGTGGTAAATTTGCTTACATCCCCACACGGCTTATAAGAAGCTTAAGTAGATTAGGTAGACTTCTTTCGTAAATTTTCATTTTCGTAGATATTCTTGATGTATCAACCACGATTATTACAGACAGTTCTTTACCTTTTTAGATCGATTATCCGGTCCTTTTCCTTTTCCTAAGTCTGCTATCAACTCCTCTCCTCTATAGCCGTTTTTTCTTTGATATTCGTCTCTGTTGTTTCTCCCGACATCGGGATCGAATTTCGCATCGACACGGTAATTCAAAATCTTTCGATCATACAAGGGCGCCCAAAAACTCGAAAACAAGCATTCACTGAACACCGAAAATGTCAAAATTAAAAAAAGTAATTTAAGCATTATTTTAATGTTGGCAGGAATGAATTAAAAAAAATATTTTGACTCGGCGGGAAATAAAAAAGATTGTTACACTTTAAAATGTATTTTTAGAACCAGTGGCAGTCTACAAATGATCTGAGTCAGGAAACCGAAACTCGTAAATAAGAATCACAAATAGGTAAATATTTTATGTATAACTTGTTTTGTTTAACGTGTTAACATGGTCCAAGGTTTTTGGCGCAGTTGTGTTATTTAAGGGACATACACTCATAAGGTCACGCAGCTTGAGTTAAGTAGTCTCGTGTGCTTGTAGCAAGAACCGAATGAACAAGAATAATTTTTAAATCCACCTAAAAAAGAGTTCTTTTTTTTAAATTAAGATGTGAAGAAAAAAAATTGTAGTAGTGCCAAATGAACCCACTGTCCACCTGATGGTAAGTGGCTGCTGTGGCCCACAGACATCAATATCTATCCTCGATTATAAAAAAACATGCAGATGCGTTGTCACCCGTGAGAACTATAAGATAGTTTTTTTTTAGAATAGGGTGACAAACGAGCACACAGTCTACCTGATAGTTAGTGGTTGCTGCGGTCCATAAACATCCACATCTATAAACAATTACGAATCAAAATGCAGACGCGTTGTCACCCGTGAGGACTAAGATGGAATGCCTCGTTTCCAGTAAAAAGGGTCTCCGGTTCTCTACACTCACCATACGAAACACAGCAGCATTAAGCTACTATTTTACGCTGGTATTCTGTGAGAGCGTGGTCCTTCCCCGGTCGAGCCGACCCATTCGTGCTACAACTATACTACTAATATAACTGCAGCATGGCTCTACCACGTAAAATATAGAATGCCTCGTTTCCAGTAAAAAAGTTCTCCAGTTCTTTACACTCACCATACGAAACACAGCAGCATTAAGCTGATATTTTACGCTGGTATTCTGTGAGACATGTACACATTATGTATCACTGCATCTGACTGCACTTTACTTTTAATTCTTTGGAAAATAAAATATTACCTATAAGTATTTCTTATAAGTGTATCTTATTGGGTCCATTACCGTAACTTGAACGCGATTTCCTTAGGAGAAGTTCACGCAAAAATCGTTAACATAAAACACTTCGTTTTACATAAAACGCAGCGTTCGGCATCGGCTAGAATTTGAAAATTTAAATAAGTTTTGAAAATAAAACAGAAGGTTGATATTCGAGACATTCCATCTTGCTCCTAAGGGGTGACAACGCGGCTGCATTTTGATTCTTAATCTGCCAATTAGATGTTGCCTGGGCCATAGCATCCAATTACCATCATAAAGTAAATTCACGAAACAATGCCTCAGTGGTTTGCTTTTTAATTTTTTTGCAACAATTTTTTTTCTTTTTTTTTAAATTATATACTTTAAGAATATCCGTAGTTTGGTTTATCGATTTCTTATCTAAATAAAGTGTAACCGATATTGTTGAAATAACATTAATCCTTACATTTTCCGAACAAATAAACTTCGCTATGAAATCTGTCAAATATTTCACCTTGTACGTAGGTGGCGCGTCCTGGTGTCAGAAAAAATGGATCTGAAATCCTGGATTTTTTTTATAGGATAAGGGTGACAAACGAACACACAATGCTCTGATGGTAAGTGGATGCTGTGGCCCATAGACATCAACATTCGATTAAGAATCAAAATGCTGATGCATTGTCACCCCTGAGGACTACGATGGAATGCCTCGATCCCAGTAAAACGGGTCTCCGGTTCTCTACATAAGAAACACAGCAGCTATGGAGTGTAGAAGTAGAGTACCAACCCCATAGTAGAAAAAGTGTCCATCTGTAAGCATAATAACAGTTCAAAAACTCTCCACAACACCTCAGTAGCTAGTGAGATGAAATGAACTTAGCAGTTGTCGACGGTTTAAGTGTGCTGCTAAACTGCTCAGTAGCTCTAAAATCTAAAATAATTTTATTTGGTAAATATAACCAGGAAAAAGTCGTCTATCCTACTAATAATTTTCGGCACGTTCTTTAAAATTTAGCCCGTAGCTATAGTGGCGCCACCCTTATTTAACGGTTTTTTATGGACACTTTAATACACAATCTGCACTCCTTACTTCTACACTCCATAATACCATCATTTATTTTTCATGCGGATCTTATTTTGACGTCTTTAATAAATTGCCACTTACAAATAAACTTCTGCTTAAATGACATAATATTGTTCTTTTGTACACTGCAAGTAAGACCTTTACCTTGACATAAGATGTGTATTTTACGATTTTCTCGGCTGCACAATCCTATAAAACGTTTGTTGTGCAAGTCCCTTACAATAATATTTTGTTCAAAATAATACAACATTTTTTTTCTTTATCATCATCGTCATCATTACAGCTCCTCACAAGGCAACTACTGAACATAGACCTAACCCAAATAATCCACAAAGCACGGCCGTGAGCCAACTGCATCCATCGACTTCTTTCATGTCCGTATACGGTTACGAGGTTGCCATCCGAGAACCTTTCTTCCCCATCGGTTGTCAGTTCTTCAAGCTATATGGCCAGACCATTGCCACTTCAGCTTACTAATCCGTTGGGCTATGTCGGTTAGTCTGGTTCTACTGCGGATATCCTCATTTTACCTCGTTTTTATTAAATTACTTTTTTCTTTAAAAGCTGTGTTTTTATTAAATCATTTTTTTAGAAGTCTAACCAATGTTGAGACAGCTAGATTCGTTTATTTTAGTTACTTTCATAGCAGTAATGACTTATGCGACTGACATTGAAGTCGTATTTGTTTTGCAAAAGACTAGAAATAAACATATTAACTTTGGCATCACAATATATTTACGACAATGTAATGTATGTACATAAAAACATAAATAGCTTTCATAAGAATAAAGATGTTCATACTTTAAACACTAGGAACAAACATAAGCTTGTAATACCAGTTACTAGACTCCACAGAATTAGTAATTCATTTATGGGGTGAGGTAATGTATAGGTACGCTTTTACAACAAAATCCCAGAATATGTACCTACAAAATTTGTCATTAAACAAGTTTAAATGTTTTATTAAAGAAAAATTGTACAAAAAGGGTTATTATAATATAAAAGGGAATGAACGAAATAGTGGTAGAGCCATGCGGCAGCTTTGCTGTTGCACGTATGGGCCGGCTCAAACCGGGGTGGTACCACGACCTCACAGAATACCGGCGTGAAGTGGAAGCTCTGCTTCCGCGTTTCGTCTGGTGAATGCAGGTGGCCGGAGGCGCAAATATCCCCCCCCCCCCCCATCAACATGGTAGCGGAATTAAATAATGATAGACTACCCCTGGAGAGTACCAGCACCCCTGGAGAATCCCTCGCTGAGCATCCACGACCACGTTTCCCTGCCCCTGCCACGCTGTCCGTGAATTTCTGCAATATCAGGGGACTTCACTCTAACCTAAACGCCGTCCACTACCATCTCCAGACGGCGAAGCCGGCTCTGCTCTTTCTCACCGAGACGCAGGTGTCCTCTCCGGCTGATGTCTCATATCTCTCCTACCCGGGGTACTAACTGGAACACTCCTTTGTGCCTCGGGCTGGAGTTTGCGTTTACGTCAGAGAGGACATCTGTTCTCGACGCCTCGGCAGACTTGAAGGTTCGGACCTGTCCATCCTTTGGCTACGCGTAGACAGCGACGACCATCCGCGCGTCTACGGGTGCCTCTATAGGTCCCATAGCGGTAATGCCGAAACAGATCGACTTTTCGACCACGTCCAAATGGCTACACATTCGTTGCTACAGCAGATCCCCTCCGCAGAGATCGTGATCCTCGGCGACTTTAACGCCCATCACGTCGAATGGCTTGGTTCACGTTTAACCGATCATGCGGGGAGATCTGTTCATGATTTTGCCTTGGCATATGGTCTGACAAAACTGGTTACTTCGCCTACGCGGATTCCAGATGTGGAGGATCATGCACTTTTCCTGTTGGACCTTCTGCTGACCTCTCACCTGGACGGATATCCGATTTCCGTCGAAGCCCCTTTAGGCTCCTCGGACCATTGTCTTGTCCGGAGTGTGGTGCCACTCACGCTGAAATCGCAGTTGCATTCTGCAGGCTGCCGCCGTGTTTGGCACAATAGGTCAGCCCTACCCTTGGGGGCGGGTTTGCTTCTCGCCGGACGATCCCAACGTTGTTGCAGATTCTGTCGCTGATGTGGTACTTCAGGGTATGGAACTTTTTATTCCTTCCTCTGTGGTGCCCATTGGAGGCAAATCCATGCCATGGTTTGGTCGCTCCTATAAAATAGCATCATGCTATTTGCAGGAGTGCTACCGAGCCTGGGCTGACGCATCAGCGTCCCGGGATGTAAACACCAGCGCTATAAAAAAGAAGTATAATTCCGCCTCTAGGTCCTTCAAAAGAGTCATTGCCAAGGCAAAGTCAGAGCACAAAGGCAGAATTGGCGAGAAACCAGTTCGCCTTCCTTCGGAACCCGTGCATTCTGGTCTCTCGCCAAGGCTATCCAGGTGAATTTCTGTCAGCATCTCTTCCATCTCTGCACAGGGAGGACGACTCACTGGCCCATACCGCAAAGGAGAAAGCCGATCTTCTAGGCTCTTTCTTTGCGTCCAACTCGACTCTCGATGACGGGGGGAGTACGCCGCCGACCATCCCGCGGTGTGAGTGCTCCATGCCGGAAGTGCAGTTCACACAGTGCTCGGTTTGCAAAGCACTCCTCTCCCTGGACATCCACAAGTCGAGTGGGCTTGACGGAATCCCCCCAATTGTGCTGAGGACGTGTGCTCCAGAGTTGGCACCGGTTTTAACGCGTCTTTTCCGGTACTCCTACTCCCTAGGCGTAGTCCCACAATCATGAAAGACGGCTTTCGTCCACCCGATCCCTAAAAAAAGGCGACCGCTCAGACCCGTCTCCAACTACCGGCCTATCGCCATCACCTCCTTGTTCTCCAAAACAATGGAGTCCATTGTAAACTGCCAGCTCATGAGGTACCTTGAGGATCACCAGCTGATTAGTGACCGCCAATACGGTTTTCGCCGTGGTCGGTCAGCTGGTGATCTTCTGGTCTACCTAACTCATAGATGGGCGGAGGCATTAGAGTCCAAGGAGGAGGCCTTGGCCGTTAGTTTGAACATATCGAAGACCTTCGATCGGAATTGGCACAAAGCGCTTCTTTTAAAGCTTCCATGCCACGGGTTTCCAGAGAAATTGTGCGATTGAATCACCAGTTTTCTTGCAGATCGGAGCATCAAGGTCGTTGTAGACTGTGCAAGCTCCGATTGCAAGCCTATTAATGCTGGTGTTCCACAAGGCTGCGTGCTATCGCCAACGCTGTTTCTTCTGTATATCAATGATATGTTGCAAACCCGTAACATTCATTGCTATGCAGATGACAGCACTTGTGATGCTCTTTACACCGGCCGAGCCAATATTTCTCGAGAAAACGTCTCCGAGTGCCGGGACAAACTTGTGTCTGAAGTCGAATCTTTGCTGAACAGAGTCTCGGATTGGGGGCGACTAAATCTAGTCCAGTTTAACCCCCAGAAGACACAAGTTTGCGCGTTAACCGCTAAAAAGAACCCCTTTGTCGTATCTCCTCAGTTTCAAGGCACTCCCCTTGTTGCCTCAGCCAGTATCGGAATCCTCGGCGTCGACATATCGAGTGACGTACAGTTTCGTGGTCACTTGGACGACAACAAATTGACCTCTAAAAAGCTTGGCGTGCTCAGCAGAGCGGGACAGTATTTCATGCCGGCACGTAGGTTCGGCCGCATATGGAATACTGTTCCCATCTCTGGGCTGGGGCTCCCCAGTACCAGCTCCTTCCACTTTACGGCATCCAGCGCAGAGCGGCTCGAATCGTCGACGACCGAGTGCTTTCCGATCGGCTCGATTCACTGGCATTGCGAAGAGATGTTGCATCTCTTTGCATTTTATTTCGCATATTCCATGGAGAGTGCTCTGAGGAATTGTTCGGATTAATCCTAGCCGCCAAATTTCGTGAACGCACTACGCGGCAAACGTCCCGATACCATCCACACCATCTGGATGCTTGGCGGTCCACCACAGTACGTTTCAAAAGGAGTTTTCTTCCGCGTACAACCTCTCTGTGGAATAGTTTGCCACCGGCGATTTTTCCGGACCGATACGACCTGGGGACCTTCAAGAAAAGAGCTTACCTTTCTAAAGGGCCGGCAACGCACCTGCAATTCCCCTGGTGTTGCGGTTGATCATGGGCGGCGGTAGTCACTTAACATCAGGTGAGCTGCATGCTCGTTTGCCCCCTCTTCTATAAATAAAATGAGGTGATCGCCAACGTGCTGGTTCTATAAAAATACATTGGAAAATTGTAACAACATAAATGTATTGTAAATTCAAATATGTTTAAAAAAATCCCGCTGGGTTTCTTGCTGGTTCTTCCCAGGACAGAGGTGTTTTTGCGAACCAGTGGTAAATTTAAAAATGACTTTCAATAAGTATTTTATAATAATCTATGTTGAATAAAATAATTCATTTCATTTCTTTGTCTATCTGTCTATCAATCTATATGTTGTGTGGACCTGCTCAAATATATATTACAGTTAACTCAAATTTCGAGCACTTACCGAAGAGTTAGCAACTTGAAAATCTGAACATGTTTCAGAATTGGATAACAACATGACATCGGATACAATTGTACATGGTAGAGCCATGCTGCAGTCATATTAGTAGTATAGGCGGTGCGAGCGGTGCGACCGCACCGGGCGCCGAAATCAACCGTAAAGCTACCACCAGCCACCGGTCACCAAATCACTCACTCTTGTCACTAACAATCCGTTTTGTTGAGGCTAATTAAGAAGTCAAAGCTCGAGTATTTTGTTGCTTACAAGCCAGTAAGTGACTCTTCGGAAAAGGGACTTATTGGCCTTTTTCTTGAGTTTGACTTAGACATGAATGGTTGTCGAGGTCAAGGGTCTAATGGTGCGCACATGCCAGGAAAATTAGAGCTGTTCAAACCAGAGTTTGACTCAATATTCTCGGGCATCAATCCATGTGGTTGAAGTTATTAGAACTTAATTTACTCATATTCACGTAATAAAAAAAATGATGTGTCCTACGCAGTTTAAAGAGCACCTCCCAACCCACTCAATTGTATACACTATTCTTGTAGCCACCACTTCCAGTACCACCACATCCAGTACCACCACACCCAGTACCACCACACCCACAACCACCACACCCAGTATCACCACACCCAGTACCACCACGC